GGACCGGGCAAGCGGGCCCTGCGGGTTCTGCTGCCCAGCCTGGTGTGGCCCCCGCAGCGGGAGCTGGGACAGGGTCAGAGATAACCCACGGAGTGCATCTTCTGGTGCGGGAGCGGCGATGTCGCTGCAAGGTTAGGGGAGAAGTGACTCTCACCCGTGGAACAAAAGTCCTGAAGTTTGTGTTGGAAGCATCGGGACTTCTCTTGTCTGGCCAGTTTGTGCCAGGACAGGAACATCCCGTGAGCCTCGTATTTTAGTGGATGAGAAAGTGGAGTAGGGTACTCCTACTGGGGTAGGAGGGATATTCTTGCCAAACGAGAATGTATGAAAGAGGAAGTGCAACTTTCTCCTGTTTCACAAGACATTTAAGGAGAAAAGTACAGAAGGGGAAGGATTGGAAAATAAAAAAAATCACAAATTTTTTTAAATTAAAATATTTTAAATAAATAAAGGAGGATTTTCCTAAGAAATTAATCGAGCTATACATGGGCTTAGTGGAGCTCACTGGCAGTGTGATGGATGCAGGAGCTGAGTGTTACCTGTGGGGCTAAAGGGAGGTTTCTGTGCAGGCATGAATGTTCCTCCCTTTTTTCCGAAAGGAGCTTGGCATTCAAGCTACTCCAGGGGAGCATGGTAGGCTGACACAGCCTCCACACTACCAGAGCTACAAACTCCTCCAAGAAAGTGAGCATCTTTATATCTGTCCAATCTTAATTGTGACATAATTTATTGAAATAAGAAATCAAAACCTGCTTCGTATACATACACTAGAGAATCAGCTCTGGCTAACTAGCTAAATGTTTGTTAGCATCAGCAAACACTTGCCATGGGAAATTCCCTGAAGAGTCCCATAAAGATCAGTCAACCGTTGTTCAAATAATTTGACTGACTCGCTGTATCCATCTTCTCTAAGCTGGGTGGGGAATAACATGACAAACTCAGCCATGAGATTAATAACGACTCAGAACTACATTAAGGTGAGCTTGTCAAGACAGACCTCTATAAGCTTGGCACAGAAGTGGTGGCTTCTGCACAGTAGAGAAATACAACAGAAATACAATACAAAGATACATGCAAAAGTCACCAAAAGTCACTGTCAGAGACAGAACTGAGCAGAGCTGCATCCCTGGAGTGTTTAGGTGTGCTTTTCTTGGGAGAATTACATTATGGCTGATTGCAAATTTACTAAAATACGTATTAAAGCAGAAATGTTCCAAACTGGGCATCCACTTAAACTTCTGTAAATTCATCTATAAAACCATTTCAAAGGAAACAAAAGGAAAAGAGTGTTTTCTTCACATAAAAGTAATACAATTCAGAATGACTTTTCCCTAAACCTTCCCCATTTCGTTCTTTGTAGATGAAGCTTCATTTTGAGTCAGGAATG